TGCTCACCAGGTTGTATTTTGGAATATGTGGAAGACAGCTACCTGGCCAGCAGACTGGAGAATATTTGTATTTATTCCCATTCCCCCCAAAATTGATCCAACAGAATGTGGAAATTTTCGAACAATGTCATTAATAGCATATGTAAACAAAATCTTGCTGAAGATTATTAAAAAATGGCTGGAACAGTATATTACCAGAGAAATGTCAGAGTAAGTCTGGATTTAGAAGAGGCCATCGCATTAGGGATATCATTGCTCCTGCCACACAGAATTTAGCTAAAAGCAGAGAGCACCAGAAGGATAGCTACTTAAATTTTATTGACTGTGCAGAGTCATTTCACTTTGTGGATCATAACAAATTCTGGGTAACACTGAGAAGGTTCGGAATCCCAGAACACTTAATTGAGCTCTGGCGACATGTGAACCTCATCCAAGAAGCTGTTGCCTGAACAGAACAAGGAACATGTCATGGTTTAAAATAAAGATGTGCACCAGGGCTGTATCCTTTCTCCATACCTATTCAATATGTATGCTGAGAAAATAATTTGAGAAGCCAGACTTTATGAAGAAGAATGTGGCATCAGGATCAGAGGAAGACTCATGAACAACCTGTGTTATAAAGATGATATAACCTTGCTTGCTGAAAGTGAGGAGGGCCTGAAACAATTGCTCCAGAAGATCAAAGACTACAGCCTTCAATATGGATTAAATCTCAACATCAAGAAAACAAAAGGCAACAACATGATAGATGAAGAAAAGATAGAAATTGTCAGTGATTTCATCTTACTCTGATCCACAGTCAACATTCTTGGTGCCAGCAGTCAGGAAATCAAAAGACATATTGCATTGGGAAATTCTGAAGTCAAGAACCTCTCCAAAGTACAGAAGAGCAAGCATGTCAGTTTAAATAAGATGCAAGCCATAATCTTTTCAATTACTTGCTATGCATCTGAGAGTTGGACAGTGAAAAAGGTAACAGAGGAATTGATGTCATTAACTTGTGCTTTTGGAGAAGAGTACTAAATATCTCATGGACTGTCAAGAAAAATCCAAATATGTCTCAGAGAGGGTGCAACCAGAATACTCCTTAGAGAGAAGGGTGTTGTGAAACTTTGTTTCACACACTTTGAGCATGTTGTTAGAAGGGGCCAGTCCTTAGGAAAGCGCATGAAGTTCAGGAAAGTCAAGGGGTAGCAAAGGAAGGGAAAATCCTCAATGAGACAGGTCAGCACAGTGACTGTAACAATTGGCTCAAGTGTGGCAGAGATGATGAGATTGGCACAGGATAGGACAGGGTTCAAATCCATCATTTATATGGTTGCTATAAGTCAAAGTTGTGTCAACAGCACCTGACAACAATAACAACATGATACTCACAGACTTTAGAGGAGCTTCCAACCTCAGATAGACTAGGAAGTAAGGCCTGGCAATTTAGTTCTGAAAATCAACTCATGTAAACCCTGTAAATCTCAATGCTCTGATCCGTCTATATGTGGAAATGCCATGAGTCAGGAGTTGATGAAGCAGCAGCTAACAGTCACCACCATTGTTGAACAGGTAATATTTTCATGGCACTTACATGTCATTCAAGGCTTACAACAATTGTTAAAGCCCTCACTTGGCACATGAAGAAACCCAACTCAGGTTAATGTCCTCATCCAAGGTTACACAGCTAGGACGTGGTGACTGTTAACTCACATCTGATTCTAGAGCTGATACACTTAATCAGTATGCTGTACTGTTGGCTGCTGTCCGTCAGTCCTGACTCATATAGAACAGATGACCCACTATCTCGTCTTGGGCCAGTCTCACAGTCATTGCTGTCTTGAGTCTCTTGTTGCAATCACTGTGACAATCCATTTGGTTGAGGGTATTCCACTCTTTATCAAGCATGACATCCTGTTTCTCCTGATAACATGGTCAAAGGCAGCATTCTTTCTTCTAAAGAGGACTCCAGCTTTATGTCTTCCAAACCAAATTTGTTTGTTGTTCTGGCATTCCACGGTACATTCACTATTCTTTGCCAACACCACAATTCAAAGAATTGATGTCCAGTTTTCCTTATTTGTTGTCCGGCTTTTACATGTTATTATTGTTGTGTGCCATTGAGTTGGAAGCAACCCATAGCCAACCCTGCAGCAGGTTTTCAGAGGCAGTAAATTGCTGCATAGAAGGAGATTAATCATCCTTCTCCTGGGGAGCAGCTAGTGAATTCAAACTGTGTACCTTTGGGATTGCAGCACAGCTTCTTACCACTAGGCCACCAGAGCATGGTTTGGTCAGGCTCACATTACTCCACAGAGTGATTTCTTTGCTTTTGTTCTTATTTGAGTGAATGTTTACAAAGCACTCTGGTTTTTAATTGAATAGTTCATAGACACTTTGTTTTAGAACATTATTTGTTGTAATATCATTATTGTTGTTACGTGCTGTCAAGGCGCCTACTATTTATAGTGACCCTGACCTACAACAGTCCTAAACCCTGTTCTATTCTGTGCCTATGTTATTGCCTCTGAAACACCTACCCTCATTACCTCAGTCACTGACTCAGTCTCATTGAGGGTCTTTCTCTTCTGCGCTGTCCCTCTACCCTCCCAAGCATGACGCCCCTCTCCAAGGACTAGTCCCTCCTTGCAACATGTCCAAAGTATGTCAGATGAAGCTTCAGAATCCTTGCCTCCAAAGAGCAGCCTGGTTAACCCTCTCCAGGATGAACCTGTTCATTCTTTTAGCAGTCCATGGTATATTCAACACTCTTCTCCAATTAACACAACTCAAAGGCATCAATTCTCCTATCATCTCTAGTCATTGTCCAGCTCTTTGATGCATAGCAAGTAATTGCAAACTATGGCCTGTATCACATGCACCTACGTCTCCAGACTGACATCATTGTTTTGGAGAGGTCTCTGACAGCAGACTTTCCCAATGCAATACGTCTTTTAATTTCCTGGCTGCTGGTGCTAAGAGTGTTGATTGTGGAGCCAAGCAAATGAAAACTGTTTACAATCTCAGTCTCATCACCATCCATCATGATGCTGCTAATCGGCCCAGTGGTGAGAATCTTTGTTTTCTTGCAACTGAGATTCAATCCATATTGAAGGCTTCAGTCCTTAACATTCTGTAGCAAGCACTTCAGGTCCTCCTCAGTTTTAACAAGAAGGGTTATGTCATCTGCATAACGCAGATTGTTGACCAGTCTACCTCCAATCCTGATGCCACATTTCTCTTCACAGAGCCCAGCCTCCCAGATAATCTGCTCTGTATATAGATTGATAAGGTATGGAGATAGGACACTTCCCTGGTGTACACCCTTCCCAATTTTGAACCAGGCAGTGTTCCCTTACTCAGTTCTGATGACTGCCTCCTAGTCCAAGTATAGGTTTTGCATAAGCATGATCAAGTGTTCTGGGATTCTCAGTCTTCTCAGAGTTAGCCACAGTTTGTTGTGGTCCACACAGTCAAATGCCTTTGCATAGTCAATTAATTTACTACTATATCTATTCCAGACCCTTATTGTATATTGCCTTTTCCTTCATCCAGTTTACCTATTTATTAATTTTACTCTCTTGTCTTTTCATCCCCATCCTTGTTAACCTTCCAAGGTTGATTCTATCTGTGTTTTTATAGTAGTGGTCTTATACCATAATTAGGGAACTCAGGTGGTTGAGTGGTAAGGAATTGTGCGGCCAACACAAAGGTACATGGTTAAAATCCACTAGCTGCTCCATGGGAGAAAGATGAGCAAACAACTCCTGTATGATGTACTTCCTCCAAAAACCCACTGGGGGGTCAGCTGTGAGTCAATTCCAACTCGAAGGTACATAACAACAATAACAACATGCCATAATTGTCTTTTAGGCGTTCGCTCCGTCTTTGCTTTCTAATATTTTAAATAAGAGGTCTTTTGCAGCTGATTTGGGCATTGCAATATGTCACTTGTTTCCTTCACCACGGCTTCAATAAAGCACTTTCGTAGATCCACATAAAAAAAAAAATCCTTGACAGCGCCGAGTATTTTCTCCATTTAGCATGATGTCCGTTTGTTAGTCCAGTTGCGAGGATTTTTATTTCATTTATGAATGAAGTGTATCTAATAAAGAAGGCTCTTTAACAGTAAGTGCTTCAAGTTGCCTTAGCTTTAGTGTATAAGGTGATGCCATCTGTATACCTCAAGTTATTAATGAATTCTCCTGATGTTGTGTTCTCTATATCATCTATAACTATCTATCTATCTTTCTTCTTCTTTATTATTATTATCTATCTAATTTGCTCATACTGTACTGCTTGCTTCTCCTTGTTTACATTTTTTATAGAATCACAGAATGTTAATCCTGTACAGGACCACTTGTCCACGTGCCTAATTTTTATTTTTTACTTTTTCAAGCCTTTAAATCTTTTAAGATTGGAGATTTCACATGCAAGTGGTATTGATAACACTGTCTCCTCTTGCTAGATAGGGAAGGAACTGGTGAGAAGAAAGAAAAATTTCGATACTCTTCCTAACACCATAGTTCAAAGCCATAAAATTTTTTTTCTTCCTTATATGTTGTCCAACTTTCATATGCATAGGAAGAAAGTAAAAATAACATATCTTGGATCAGGCCCACCTTACTCTTGAAACTGATTACATTGTTCTTTAGAACTTTGGCAAGGTCCTTAACAGCAGATTTCCTTAACCCAACATATGTTTTGATTCTTTGACTACTGCTACCATGGGTGGTGACTGTGGATCCAAAGAAAATTAAATCTTTGACAACTTCAATAATTTCTCTACCTGTCATGATGTTGTGTCTAATGAGACAGTGGGCAGATTTTTGTTTTCTTGATGTTGAGATGTAATCCATATTGAAAGCTATAGTCTCTGATCTTCTACAGCAAGTACTTTAAGTCTTCTTCCCTTTCTGCAAGCCCTGTTGTGTCATCTGCATAGGTAAAGTAGTCAAAATCAACTACACATCAAAACACTGTTAACTTCCCGTTTGGGGTTTGTCTTTTGACAGAATATCATCACAGATCCATTCCAGCTTGCAGAAGAGCCTAATAATACCCGGTCCAGATGTTCCCCTGGTAATGCTGGAGGCTGCTGTGCTACAATGAAAACCTGCTAAGTCTACATCTGCCTGGAAGACAGAACCAGTAGTGGGCCAGACACGGAACAATGAGTTACATATGCTTTTTGACCCTTGCCATCTCCAAAATAGAGACCACAGGAAATAATATATACCTAGAAAACACCATATTCTTGATAATGTTAAGGTCAGATTAATTGTTTAGAGGATATTAGGTATATATATATATATAGATATTCACACACAAATAAAAACAAGCCATGCGATGTTGGGCTTTTAAAATTTTTGTTCTGGTGCCACTTAGTGGTCAGATGTGGAATTGAGAAATAAAATAAGCAATGGTAAGATTTAGAAATTAATGGTTGGTCAAAGAATGGAGCCAGGGAAGGAGAATAGTAATCTATCTTCATTCTGACCTGGATAATACCATTTGACATTTTTGCCATGTTGTCTCATTAGACAAAAGAACAAAGTTGCTTTCTAAGCAAAGCTAATCCTGGAGCTCTGGTGGCTTAGTTGGAAGATGGTCTGCTACCCAAAAGACATGTGGTTTGAATCTACCAGCTGCTCACAGGAGAAAGATGGTCAGTCTCCTCCCATGCAGTTTTCTGCCTCTGAAAAGCTGCTGGAGGGTCAGCCTCGAGTCGGTACACAACACAACAATAATCATGGTAGAAGATTGCCAAATTGAGAGTGTTCGTGAGGAAACTGGTTTTTTAAACCAGCTTTTTTTTAATTGAATGAAAGAAACAAATAGTACATTTCTTTGGCCTCAGCTCACTGTTTTCACTGCAGACTGATAGATATAGTGACTTGTGTAAAATCCATTGCTGACAAGTCAGTTCTAATGTCAAATCCCTACTGGGTTTCAGAGGCTGCAAATCTTTAGGGCAGAAGTCTGCCCCCTCTTTTCCTTGTGATGCAGCTGGTGGATTTGGACCACCATGCTTTCAGCTAGTAGCCCAACTGTGCATGCCACCAGTGCTCCTTGGATCAGAAGGTGTAATCCGGGAGCTCTGGTGGCCTAGTGGCAAGGAGCTGCAACTACAATCCCAGAAGCTCACGGTTCGAATCCACCAGATGCTCTGCCGGGAAAGGAGGGACAATTTCCTCCTGTACCAGTCAGATCTGATTTGACAGTATACTCACAAAAAAATTAAAAAACAAACAACAACAATAAAAAAGAAGGTGTAATCCTTTTTAAAAGAAGAGTTGGAGGATGTGAAGGGAGCCCTGGTGGCATGACCCATAGGGACTTATTCTTCTAACCCAGAAGCTGCACCACTCTGGTGGTTCTAGCCCACCAGTGACTGCACTGGAGAAAGGTGGGCCAACTCGCTGGAGGGTCAAATGTGACTCGTTTCTGACTCAACAGCAATGAATTTGAGGGTTTTTGGGAGATATGAAAATGAGAGGTCTTGTTTTCATTTTCTTTTTGAAAGGTTAAACTTTTAGGAAAAGATTAGACTCACTTAAAGAAGATAGAGAAGCCTTCTCCATACTTTGTTTCCAAGGAAGAAAGTCCGTCCCATCTTTTGGCATCTAACTTTTTAATAAATCTTTGTACTTAAAAAAAAAAAAGAAGATAGAGAATTTTAAGGACAATTAAATCAATATATCTTAAGAACAAAAATTAAAGAAAACTTAAAAAATGAATAAATGAAACATCTAGTTGTACTTGAGAATTTTGTGGAATGACATCAAGGTCTAAGTCATGGTCATTGTCTTCAAGGAGCTTACAGTTTAGTTTTTTTAAATATCAGACTTGAGATGATGAAAGATTTCTATAAAACTCTGTGAGGAAGTTCTTTGGAAAAGAAAATGTCCTGAACTTAGTGCAAAAGGAATTAAGAGAAAGAATTTTTTGCCTTGTGAAAAATAAGAATGCATTCTACAGGAGACTTCTCTCTTTTCTTTTTTTTAGATTTAATATCCTCTCTTTTCTAAAACTCTCTCTCTCATCTAATCTTTCAAGCCATGTGCATTCCCTATTGCGATTCCATTAATATCTTATTCATTTGATGTCTAATATGTCACATATAGGAGACACACCTGGAGAAAAGTTGATACGAGAGGCGCACGGTTCGAATCCACCAGATGCTCTGCCGGGGAAGGAGGGGCAATCTCCTCCTGT